GGCATTAGGGGATGTGAATTATGTAATCCACATGCCAGATCGTCCGAGGAAGTCACAGGTTTGCCACGTGAACATGATAAAGAGGTACTACGACAGAGATAAGCCTCTAGGCGATGAAGAACCGATGGAAACCCCATTGCAGGCGACGGTGCTGTGTGGAGGAGACGGCAAAGGAATAGAAGAGGAGAACTGTAAGTTAGAGAGGGCCGATGGCGCGAAGATATCAAATACAGAAAGCCTGGCCAAGATAGGTGAGCGTCTGGGTCATTTGGAGGATGACCAACGCCAGGAGCTAGTGGAGATCCTACGGAGGAATAAGTCGTTATTCACGGACGTGCCTAGAAGACACCGCGGAACGGTGCACGAAGTGAATGTGGGGAGTGCTGAGCCCATCAAGCAGCACCCTTACAGAGTAAACCCGGAGAAAGCAGCGGCAATGAGAGCAGAAGTAAAGTATCTGCTAGATAACGACTTGGCAGAGGTTAGCGACAGTGACTGGAGTTCGCCGTGCCTCCTCGTGAAGAAGAGTGACGGCACGTACCGGTTCTGTACCGATTATAGGAAAGTGAATGCACTCACGGTCGCTGACTCGTTTCCGATACCGCGCATTGACGATTGCATAGATCGGATTGGGAGTGCACGGTATGTCTCGAAGATAGACCTGTTGAAGGGATACTACCAGATTCCCCTGTCTGAGGAGGCCAAGAGGATCTCAGCGTTCGTGACTCCCGACGGCTTGTACCAATATAAAGTGGTGCCGTTCGGAATGAAGAATAGTGGTAGTTGTTTTCAACGAGTAATGAATCAGGTATTACAAGGCGCGACCGGATGTGCAGTGTACATCGATGATATTGTGGTGTTCGCTGATTCCTGGAAGGATCACGTGGATCGACTTTTAGATTTGTTCGATCGTTTGGAGAAGGCCAACATGACGATCAACTTGGCAAAAAGCGAGTTCGGGAGAGCCCGCCTGGAGTACCTTGGATATATAGTAGGGCAAGGCGAGGTTGCTCCGGTAAGAACAAAGGTGGAGGCCATTAACAACTTCCCGGTGCCCAGGAGTAAGAAAGAATTGTTGAGATACCTCGGTATGATTGGGTATTACCGGAAGTTCTGTGAAAATTTCTCCACCATAGCCGCTCCTATGACGAGTTTGCTATCAAAGAGCAAGAAGTGGGAGTGGAATGGAACAGCACAAGAAGCGTTTGAGAAGACCAAAAGACTGTTGACTGGGGCACCTGTACTAGTGTCGCCAGATTTTGAAGCGCCATTTACGTTATTTGTAGATGCCAGTGATATAGGGGCCGGAGCTGTACTGACGCAGCAGAATGATGGAATTTACCGCCCCGTGTCCTTCTTCTCGAAGAAGTTCGTTAAGCACCAGAGGTCGTACAGTACAGTCGAGAAAGAGACTTTGGCCCTGGTGATGGCATTGAAACATTTTGAAGTGTATGTGAGTGGGGGAGGACACCCAGTAACGGTGTATACAGACCATAATCCCCTAGTTTTCCTGAAGAAAATGAAGCATGCAAACCAGAGATTAACCAGATGGTTTTTATCGCTCCAAGAGTATGACCTGGTGATAACGCACATAAGAGGGCGAGACAATGTAGTGGCTGATGCGTTATCTCGAGCCTAGCCACTAGAATAACTCTCAAAAATAAGGGGAGGGGAGTGTTATGATCTCAGCCTGCAGGAGAAACGAGTCTCCCTTCTTGAGAGTTATTCAGCAAGCCTGACCTAACTAGAAGGTCTAGCAAGTATTGAGGTGATAACGCATATGTAAAATAGTTGGTTGGATATGTGTAACAGTTTGAGATTATGGGCAATGCAGAAGAAAATAGATAAATGACGGGCTAGGAGATGTGGACACTTTGCTGGAGGCGTGAGGCTCGCTTCCGGAGGACCTTGACCTCACTTGAGTGCCAGACATCGCAGGGGGAAGCCGCGCTCCGTTGAGCTCCCGTCAGAAGGGAACCCCTAGTGATATATCTCTAAGAGAAGAGAAGTGTGCAGACGTACCAGCTGTGGAATAGAGCTGGGGACGTGTGGTCTCAAGTCGTGGACGATAATTAGTGAATATTAAGCCGCCCGGAGGCATTATTGTGGGCCGTGGAGCGCCCTGACCAAACCTCGTCAGAGGAAGAAGCGCCCTCGACCAGACGTTCTGTGGTAAGCACGATATACGCCAGTTCATAGTGATTGCATTGTAGTTGGTCGTGTGCCCAGCGACAGTAGCAATGTTTATTTATAGGTTAGACATGTTGTAATAAGGCAGAAGGCCTGAAATAGGAGAGTGAAGAGGGAGGAGCACGGAGCGACGTCCGTCCTCTCTGAGCTCTGGCGGACGACTGAGGGAGCCTGGCTCCGGATGGAGGAAGACCCTCCCAGCGAGTGAGGACGCCGCCGCCAGGCGAGGTGGAGTATGGACCCGCCCAAAACGGGGGAGTCCACTCTCACTGTATGTAGAGAACAGATAGAGGTTTGAGGCAAGTATATTGTGTGGTTATTTTTGTTTATGTGTTAATGGGGAACATTTTATTGGAACGTCGATGGGTTGCAGGTTTGTCTTTGGGGAAGAAGTTGCTGAGAACTTCGAAGCCAGCAGATGATGTAGCTGATGAGACTCCAAGGTAGTGGAGCCGAGGACCTCGAGCTGTGAGGAGAAGCAGCAGTGAAGAGGAGTGTCACGTGCTTCTGTAGAGGTGGTGTAGCAGCCAAGAGAGCTGTGGAAGAACCTAACAGAAGGGTGAAGCACCGTAGTTACACAAGGAAACTTCATGATAGCAGCCGGGAGGAGCTGCAGAGGATCCTGGTAGTGAAGCCCGGAAGAACCTAAGGATATTAGGGTTGTGAACTTCCAGAGGTGGAAGGGGAAGTTCTGGTGGATTACTAGTAGGGAGTTGATAGTGTTTGGTTGTCATTAGCGTGCAAGACGCAGTGAGAGGTGAGTGACTGTTGGCATTCTTATGTCAAGGAATTTTTTATACTGAAGTATCAATGAACATTTATACTGGTATATGTTATTGCATTCAAATGCTGATTTTCTATATATACATTATCTTGCTGATAGTGCAACAGTGTATGTAGGCTTGACCAACTTGAGGAGGTTAATGGTATCAGGTGGCGAACCAGGAGATAGGATACCCCTTGATAAGCTGATAATAGAGTTCTGATGGTGTTGGAGTGCAACCTGATTGTGATATTATAGAGTATAGGATTCATTATTATTATATGTGTGTATGTATCGTGTATGTGCCTTGTCAAGTAAATGTGTCACAATTTGCTGGTGTTTGCCCTTGTCCTAGTGAGGCTTCCCAGGAGGTAGTAAAGAAGGAGAGAGAAAGAACCAAGAACCACTGCTGTGGACAGGGTAGAAGGTAATATTAATAAGTCAAAGGGGGATCGAGGAGATCATATCACCTAAGGAGAGAGTGGGGAGTCACAGCGGCTCGAGTGGGTGTGTGCACGTGACAACGAGGCTAAGTGTTGGAGCCGCATCCCCTAAGCGTGTGACGTTGAGCCCCTCTCCAAGAGCCAGAAGCGCCAAGGGTGATCTCCTAGTATAAGCACTCTGCCGAGTTGTGGGTTGGGTTGTCCGTAGAGAAGGATCGACGACGACAACACCAACCAACCCACGAGTCTATAAAAGCACCCCATACCCATCCCGTGGGCAGTGGTGTAAAGGATTACAGAGGCACATAATCGGTTCAGGAACTGAACCCTCTAGTTCGTTTAGCTAAGCAAGTAACAATTTTTTGACGCTAGTTACAAAATTATTAATGTTATATTGGCTCAGTGTACTTGTATATATATATTTCGCCGCTCTAGTGGTAAACTACACTTACTTTTTCCAATATGTGACGCATTTTAAGCGATGAGTCACAATAACGTGGCTGAAGTATGTTGACCAGACCACACACTAGAAGTTGAAGGGACGACGACGTTTCGGTCCGTCCTGGACCATTCTCAAGTCGATTCGTCGTCGAAACGTCGTCGTCCCTTCAACTTCTAGTGTGTGGTCTGGTCAACATGACACATTTTAAATTGTAGGTCAAGTGTTAGATTTAGCCAGATGTTTATTCCAGTCATTACTGTAATAATTCGTCGAAGTTTTACGAACAAGTTCTTGATTGTTGGGTCCTGTGCCCAGGTTATCCAGCTGTAAGTCGTGTCCTTGTTACTGCTACTGAAGGCTCGGTACGGTCACAGGATAACGCTCCCAGCACGATAATCACACGGGTCTGTCACCTTATGTTGAGGAATGTAGTTACCTTGAAGTTCCGGGGCTTAGCGTCCCCGCGGCCCCGTCGTCGACCAGGCCTGCTCGTTGCTGGACTGGTCAACCAGGCTGATTGACGCGGCTGTTAGCACCCTGACATATGAATCACAGCCTGGTTGATCAGGTATCCTTTGGAGGTGCTTATCCAGTTTCCTCTTGAACACTGTGAGGGGTCGACTTGGCCGACCGCGGTCCCCGGTCCGACCGCGGTCGGCCAGGTTGGCCTTAAACACAGAATATTTAGGAAAGCTTATGCCCAACTTGTCAAGATATTTCTGCTGCTGCTCCTCCTATTATTGCTGTTGGTGCTATCGTTGCTTGCTGCTAATACCGGTACTATTACTGCTGCTAATACCGGTACTATTACTGCTGCTAATACCGGTACTATTACTGCTGCTGCTAATACCGGTACTATTACTGCTGCTGCTAATACCGGGACTATTACTGCTGCTGCTAATACCGGGACTATTACTGCTGCTAATACCGGTACTATTACTGCTGCTAATACCGGTACTATTACTGCTGCTAATACCGGTACTATTACTGCTGCTAATACCGGTACTATTACTGCTGCTGCTAATACCGGTACTATTACTGCTGCTGCTAATACCGGGACTATTACTGCTGCTGCTAATACCGGGACTATTACTGCTGCTGCTAATACCGGGACTATTACTGCTGCTGCTAATACCGGGACTATTACTGCTGCTGCTAATACCGGGACTATTACTGCTGCTAATACCGGGACTATTACTGCTGCTAATACCGGGACTATTACTGCTGCTAATACCGGGACTATTACTGCTGCTAATACCGGTACTATTACTGCTGCTAATACCGGTACTATTACTGCTGCTAATACCGGTACTATTACTGCTGCTGCTAATACCGGGACTATTACTGCTGCTGGTAATACCGGGACTGTTACTGCTGGTAATACCGGGACTGTTACTGCTGGTAATACCGGGACTGTTACTGCTGGTAATACCGGGACTGTTACTGCTGGTAATACCGGGACTGTTACTGCTGGTAATACCGGGACTGTTACTGCTGGTAATACCGGGACTATTACTGCTGGTAATACCGGGACTGTTACTGCTGGTAATACCGGGACTGTTACTGCTGGTAATACCGGGACTGTTACTGCTGGTAATACCGGGACTGTTACTGCTGGTAATACCGGGACTGTTACTGCTGGTAATACCGGGACTGTTACTGCTGGTAATACCGGGACTGTTACTGCTGGTAATACCGGGACTGTTACTGCTGGTAATACCGGGACTGTTACTGCTGGTAATACCGGGACTGTTACTGCTGGTAATACCGGGACTGTTACTGCTGGTAATACCGGGACTGTTACTGCTGGTAATACCGGGACTGTTACTGCTGGTAATACCGGGACTGTTACTGCTGGTAATACCGGGACTGTTACTGCTGGTAATACCGGGACTGTTACTCCTGGTAATACCGGGACTGTTACTGCTGGTAATACCGGGACTGTTACTGCTGGTAATACCGGGACTGTTACTGCTGGTAATACCGGGACTGTTACTGCTGGTAATACCGGGACTGTTACTGCTGGTAATACCGGGACTGTTACTGCTGGTAATACCGGGACTGTTACTGCTGGTAATACCGGGACTGTTACTGCTGGTAATACCGGGACTGTTACTGCTGGTAATACCGGGACTGTTACTCCTGGTAATACCGGGACTGTTACTGCTGGTAATACCGGGACTGTTACTGCTGGTAATACCGGGACTGTTACTGCTGGTAATACCGGGACTGTTACTGCTGGTAATACCGGGACTGTTACTGCTGGTAATACCGGGACTGTTACTGCTGGTAATACCGGGACTGTTACTGCTGGTAATACCGGGACTGTTACTGCTGGTAATACCGGGACTGTTACTGCTGGTAATACCGGGACTGTTACTGCTGGTAATACCGGGACTGTTACTGCTGGTAATACCGGGACTGTTACTGCTGGTAATAACGGGACTGTTACTGCTGGTAATAACGGGACTGTTACTGCTGGTAATACCGGGACTGTTACTTCTGGTAATACCGGGACTGTTACTGCTGCTGCTAATGCGCGCTCGTGTGTGTGTATACACCTAATTGTGCTTGCGGGGGTTGAGCTCTGGCTCTTTGGTCCCACCTCTCAACCGTCAATAAATTGGTGTACAGATTCCTGAGCCTACTGGGCTCTATCATATCTACATTTGAAACTGTATGGAGTCAGCCTCCACCACATCACTTCCTAGTGCATTCCATTTATTAACTACTGACACTGAAAAAATTCTTCTGTGTGCGCGTGCGCGGGCTCACCTAGTTGTATTCACCTAACTGTGCTTGCAGGGTCGAGTTAGGCTCCTAGCCCCGCCTTCTAAACGTCCATAGATTAATACAATGACTCATTTCTCACGATTTTTAAATATTTATATTTACAATTTTGATTTGAATTTGTTTCAGGGACTTAGGCATCTAAGCTATTCTAATTATATATTAACAGCTCTACCACTGAAAACACTTCTTGATGTCTGACACATTTGTGTCTCCCAGTTTCCTTCTATGACCCTGGTTCTGCTGTTGCTGGCTTTGAACAATGCTGCTTTATCTTGAGGTTATCTTGAGATGATTTCGGGGCTTTAGTGTCCCCGCGGCCCGGTCCTCGACCAGGCCTCCACCCCCAGGAAGCAGCCCGTGACAGCTGACTAACTCCCAGGTACCTATTTACTGCTAGGTAACAGGGGCATTCCGGGTGAAAGAAACTTTGCCCATTTGTTTCTGCCTCGTGCGGGAATCGAACCCGCGCCACAGAATTAAGAGTCCTGCGCGCTATCCACCAGGCTACGAGGCCCCTACGAGGCCCCTCGTTTTGTGGCTTGTCTACTTTGTCAATTTCCCTCAATCTTATGTTATCGTGTCCCTCCATCTCTCTCTCTCTCTCTCTCTCTCTCTCTCTCTCTCTCTCTCTCTCTCTCTCTCTCTCTCTCTCTCTCTCTCTCTCTCTCTCTCTCCATCTCTCTCCATCTCTCTCCATCTCTCTCCATCTCTCTCTCACTCTCTCTCTCTCTCTCTCTCTCTCTCCATCTCTCTCTCTCTCTCTCTCTCTCTCTCTCTCTCTCTCTCCTCTCTCTCTCTCTCTCTCTCTCTCTCTCTCTCTCTCTCTCTCTCTCTCTCTCTCTCTCTCTCTCTCTCTCTCTCTCTCCATCTCTCTCTCCATCTCTCTCTCCATCTCTCTCTCCATCTCTCTCTCCATCTCTCTCTCCATCTCTCTCTCCATCTCTCTCTCCATCTCTCTCTCCATCTCTCTCTCCATCTCTCTCTCCATCTCTCTCTCCATCTCTCTCTCCATCTCTCTCTCCATCTCTCTCTCCTCTCTCTCTCTCTCTCTCTCTCTCTCTCTCTCTCTCTCTCTCTCTCTCTCTCTCTCTCTCTCCATCTCTCTCTCTCTCTCTCTCCATCTCTCTCTCTCTCTCTCTCCATCTCTCTCTCTCTCTCTCTCCATCTCTCTCTCTCTCCATCTCTCTCTCTCTCTCTCCATCTCTCTCTCTCTCTCTCTCTCTCTCTCTCTCTCTCTCTCTCTCTCTCTCTCTCTCTCTCTCTCTCTCTCTCTCTCTCTCTCTCTCTCTCTCTCTCCATCTCTCTCTCTCTCTCTCTCTCTCTCTCTCTCTCTCTCTCTCTCTCTCTCTCTCTCCATCTCTCTCTCTCTCCATCTCTCTCTCTCTCTCTCTCCATCTCTCTCTCTCTCTCTCTCTCTCTCTCTCCATCTCTCTCTCTCTCTCTCCCCCCCCCCCCTCCCTCCTCCCTCCCCCCCCCCTTCCTTTTCTCCAGTGTGGGAAGGTTTAGTTTCACTTTTTCTAATTTTTCCTTATATTTTTTCAGGTAAGTGTTCCATGCTGGGGATGCATACTCAAGAGCGGGTCTCGCCTCCACCGTATATAGGACCCGGGAAGCTCCTTTCTCCAAGTTTAAAAAGGATACCCGGATGTTGGCAAGTATTCCATATGCTGCTGCTGTTATTCTGTTACTGTTTGCTACCAGGTCTTTCTCCGTCTGTGATTTGAAGAATTTGTCTTCCCTTCGTCCTATACTGGTGAACTGGTCTTCCCACTACTGTCCCAATTCTCATGACGTTGCATTTGATTGGGTTAAAATCTAGCAGCCATTTTTTAAGACCACTTCTGGAATGTCCAGAGTCTAGTACAGTTTAACCCTGACCCGGGTCTTCTCATTAGTTTTCCATCATCTGCAAACGTTGATATGATTGAGCATTCCTGTCAGGACATTGACGTATATTGGAGTTGATTGTGTGTGCGCGCGCGCGTGCGCACGTGCGTGTGCTTGTTAACTAGTTGTGGTTGCTAATTGCGGGGTCGAGGGTCTACTCATAAGTCCCCCCCCCCCACCCCCACCTTTCGACTATCATTTGTTCAATGTAGTCACTCGTTAAATTCTCTTGTCATATTTACATTTAACACTGTATCCAATCCTTATCTAGTCCTTTCTACTTATTTATGATTCTTATACATTGTAACATCACTGTGGCTCGTCTGTGTTTCCAGTTATGTCGTCACGTTCTACTGCTCCTTAATTTGAAACTTGCTTCTGTATCTACTGTGTCAGTCCCTCAGTGTGATGCAGTGTAGTGAAGTCCAGTTCCCTCAGTATTTGTTCATAGACCGGTCCCCTTGGCTGATGATGAGCCTTGTTGCATACTTTTTTTGGGACCTTTACTAGTTTTGTGCTTAAGGTAGGGGGTTCCAGGCAGGGGCAGCATACTAAATAATAGATCTGACGAAAGATGTTCTTGCGTGTGGGGGGAGGGGGGGGCAGGGGGGGGTGTTAAGAATGGGTATAAGTAGTCTGAAGTGCAAATTATGGACCAATAGACCAGGGGGCCAGATTCACGAAAGCACTTACGCAAGCACTTACGAACGTGTACATCTTTCCTCAATCTTTGACGGCTTTGGTTACATTTATTAAACAGTTTACAAGCATGAAAACTTGCCATTCAACTGTTGTTATTGTCATAAACAGCCTCCTGGTGCTTCGGAGCTCATTAACTGTTTAATAATTGGAAACAAAGCCGCCAAAGATTGAGAAAAGATGTACAGGTTCGTAAGTGTTTGCGTAAGTGCTTTCGTGAATCTGGCCCCAGGGTCTTAACCCAGTGGGCATAATATCCAAGAGTAACGCCAATCTAACTCCATCTTCGTTGATTCAGCGTTAAATTAAAATTAATAACATTGAGCGTGGAAACAACGCCACTCTTGTATAGTATGCCCCCATTGGTAAGTTACTCCTTATCATGTTTTGTGTTGCGAAGGTCTGTAGCTTATACGAGTGGAGGCTAATTGCTGGAGTAGTTTACAGTCCATTCATACCACCTGCCAAACAATGTTAATGACAGCTGGTAGTGTGTAGAGCACGTGGCAGCGCTCTGTTGTGTACTGTTGTGTGTGTAGAGCACGTGGCAGCGCTCTGTTGTATACTGTTGTGTGTGTAGAGCACGTGGCAGCGCTCTGTTGTGTACTGTTGTGTGTGTAGAGCACGTGGCAGCGCTCTGTTGTGTACTGTTGTGTGTGTAGAGCACGTGGCAGCGCTCTGTTGTGTACTGTCGTGTGTGTAGCACGTGGCAGCGCTCTGTTGTGTACTGTGGTGTGTGTAGAGCACGTGGCAGCGCTCTGTTGTGTACTATCGTGTGTAGAGCACGTGGCAGCGCTCTGTTGTGTACTATCGTGTGTAGAGCACGTGGCAGCGCTCTGTTGTGTACTGTTGTGTGTGTAGCACGTGGCAGCGCTCTGTTGTGTACTATCGTGTGTGTAGAGCACGTGGCAGCGCTCTGTTGTGTACTATCGTGTGTGTAGCACGTGGCAGCGCTCTGTTGTGTACTATCGTGTGTGTAGAGCACGTGGCAGCGCTCTGTTGTGTACTATCGTGTGTAGAGCACGTGGCAGCGCTCTGTGTACCGTCGTGTGAGGTTAATGGTGCACGCGTCACGTCAGGTGGTGACGACCGCAAGCCTGGGTGTTGTGTGGGGACTTAGTGAGCTGAATTTAGTGTATTCCCTTTAATATTCGTGGCTATTGTTACAACGGTAGCCACCTTGTGTTCTTCCGTCCTCCATGGCCACGGTTGGAGGTGTTCACACTGAAATAAGTTTATTGAGGTATCAATGGACACAAAGGGATGAGGTAGTTCAAGCTATTCTCACCCCGTTTGGAGGTGTTAGGATGCCTATACCACTGTGGGAGTTACTGAGCACTCTGCTGCAACTGCGGGCCGCCGCAAGCAACAACCTGGTGGACCAAACACTCTCAAGTCTGCCAGGCTTGGGGAGAACTACTCCCAGAACCCCATCAAGCAGGTTTCAAGCAGGTTGCCTGTGAAGGGAATTTACAAAAAGGTATTGCATTGTCAGCCAATATATATAAATATGAACCATTACAGTAATGGCAATTGGTAATGATTTTGGCATTTTATAATTCAGCCCATCCTCCTGTGTTGGTAGTACTTACAGTAACGATGAGGACCACAGTATATATACCGACGTACAACGATATTAGAAAAGTAGAAATCGGCACTGTTGAGTTGGACAAACCGGAAAACTATTTTCAACTTATGTTGCAAAGACAAACTAACCTAACCTAACTGTCTTATCCTAACTATCTACCCTAACTATTCTAAGCCTAATTCACGATATCTGAGGCCTAATATAGTGTGCTATACTAGGCCTAAGAATATTTGTTTTTAACTTCATTTCTTCCGACTCTTATAAAGTGAATAGTACAAAGTTCTGGTACCTAATTGCCCGGACCGGCAATGTTTGTAGTACGGTAGACAGTTGCAAAAGTTACTATCAAAACAGGCGGCTGGGTTGTATTATTAGAGCTGGCAGACCCCACGACCCGCCTGGTGAACGTGGGCTGATCTGTCTGTACCTCGGCTCACTGCCGCACAGGTAACACTATATTTAATGTGCCGTTGTATTTAAGATTTGTATTTACTATTTGTGTGTAGAATCGGACTATTTGCTCTTGGTGGGTATGTGGGTCTGCGGGCCGCTCCAAGCAACAGCCTATTGGACCAAGCTGGACCAAGGGAACATAGGATTAAGGACTTGCCCGAAACGCTACGCGTACTAGTGGCTGTACAAGAATGTAAAAACTCTTGTATATATCAATAAAAAACGCGCTCACACGTCAAGCCTGGCCTTGGGCCTGGCTTGACTTGAGAGCTTGGTCCACCAGGCTGTTGCTAAGAAAACTATCAAGTTTTCTCTTGAATATGTCCACGGTTGTTCCGGCAATATTTCTTATAGTCGCTGGGAGGGTGTTGAACAACCGCGGACCTCTGATGCACAGTGTTCTCTGATTGTACCTATGGCACCTCTGCTCTTCACTGGTTCTATTCTGCATTTCCTTCCATATCGTCCACTCCAGTATGTTATTTTACTGTGTAGGTTTGGGACCTGGCCCTCATTATTTTCCACGTATATATTATTTGATATATCTTGTATCTGTGATGTATCTTGTATTAAGACACCTCAAGAATACCTGCATTTATACAGCAGATCCCAGACTACATGAAGCATTGCATAGTTTGTGTCACGCGCTAGCTGATGGGTATTGATGACGGTCAGTCGTAGAGGAGCACTAGCTGGGGTACCCGGTGGGGCACGGGTCCACTTGGTACCACTCACCCATATCTCCACACCAACTTCCCCCCCCCCCCTCCCACCCTCTCCGCTCCAACCTCCCCCCTCCCCCCTCCCCCCCCCTCCCCTCCCTCCCCCCCCCTCTCCCCTCCCCTCTCCCCTCCCCTCCCCTCTCCCCCTCCCCTCCTCTCCCCTCCCCTCCCCTCTCCCCTCTCCCCTCCCCTCTCCCCTCCCCTCCCCTCCCCCCTCCCCTCCCCTCTCTCCCCCCCCCCCTCCCCCCTCCCCCTCCCCCCTCCCCCCTCCCCCCTCCCCCCTCTCCCCTCCCCCCTCTCCCCTCCCCCCTCTCCCCTCTCCCCTCCCCTCCCTCCACCAACCTCACCACAGCCGCGCGACTCTACGGGTCCTCGTGTCTGAGTGGACAGCGTAGTCCTAAAGGCCCGGGTTCGATTCCCGGCCGAGGCAGAAACAATCGGGCAGTTTTTCATCCTGATGAGCCTGTTCACCTAGCAGTAAATAGGTATCTAGAAGTTAGACAACTGCTACGGACTGCTTCCTGGGGATATGCGTACGTTAGAATTATATGTAATAGACATGTTAGAGGAAAAAGAGATTGGTTAGCAAGGCGGGGTCCAAGAGCTAATTGCTGGATTCTGCAGGTGCGCACAGTAAAGATACACCACCACCTCACAAACCTGTCAATACTCCGACCCAATCTCCCGTCTGCTTCTCTCTGCTCAATCTCCCGTCTGCTTCTCTCTGCTCAATCTCCCGTCTGCTTCTCTCTGCTCAATCTCCCGTCTGCTTCTCTCTGCTCAATCTCCCGTCTGCTTCTCTCTGCTCAATCTCCCGTCTGCTTCTCTCTGCTCAATCTCCCGTCTGCTTCTCTCTGCTCAATCTCCCGTCTGCTTCTCTCTGCTCAATCTCCCGTCTGCTTCTCTCTGCTCAATCTCCCGTCTGCTTCTCTCTGCTCAATCTCCATCACTGTAACCAAATGGTTATTCTTAGAATGCAAATCTGTCATCTGTTACGTAAATTAAGTTTATCGACTCTGGGCTTAATATTTCGCAGCCAAAGACTTCGTGAAGGAGGGATGTTGTGGCCGTGCTTCTCTTCAGGGGGGGGGGGGCACTGGGCCGACCCTGAACCCCCCCCCCTCCTGGGGAGGAGAGGGAGTCGGCCGAGCGGACAGCACACTAGACTTGTGATCCTGTGGTCCCAGGTTCGATCCCGGGCGCCGGCGAGAAACAATGGGCAGAGTTTCTTTCACCCTATGCCCCTGTTACCTAGCAGTAAAATAGGTACCTGGGTGTTAGTCAGCTGTCACGGGCTGCTTCCTGGGGGTGGAGGCCTGGTCGAGGACCGGGCCGCGGGGGACACTAAAGCCCCGAAATCATCTCAAGATAACCTCAAGATAACCCTCCTCTGACAAGATAAAATAATCACACATCCTGCAAAGTTTAATGAGGCTAGTCACGAGCGTCTGACCTTCAACCTCGGACGGACAGAAATAATCTTGTAGACGTCATCGGTATAACCTGCACTGGAAAAGGTTGTGTGGATTAAGACTTGACGTTCTCGAGAACACGAGAACGGCTGAAGTATTCGCTAAGGTTCCTGGTACCTCCACCCAGCAGGTGTGAAGGGTAATGACTGGTGTGTAGGAGCCTGACCCCGGGTCCTCCTGGCACGGTGGAGGCAAGTGACGCTGCAACCTGCCCTCCTAATAGCACCTCGCATTTTGACGTATACTTTACCTAAGGCCAGAAACTGTTGTACAAGAAAATGGTTGCGGCTCGCAAAATTGATGATATCCCGTTTTCTGTTGGTGGGTCCTCTGGTAGGTTAGGATAAGGCACTTAGGTACGACAGTTTCTTGACGTAGGGAAATCTTGGGACGGGCTGCACAGTGTGTGAGGGTCACTCGGCCAGTCCTCCCTCACAACACTCTTGGCCACAATCAATCGTTCAGTCAATTGTACAGGTAAAGTGGGAGCGAGAAGTGGGGACAGCTGGAAGAATAGTGTGGAGAGGAAGCTTCGTAGTCGGAGAGTAGAGCCAGGGCTTGACCCAGCAGCAAGGCCAGGGTTTTGGGGGCGTTGAAGCAGTCGATGGCACCACTCAAGGCACCAGGGCGGGGGGAAGAGAGCCCAGCGGCAGCCAGAAGTCCTTGCCATCTCTGGGGCTCTGTGTTCCATTTTTTTTCGGGGGGGGGGGTGGGAGGGGGGGAAACTGTCTCGGTGGGCTGGCTGTGCTAATTATAGAACTGGTGGGTTAGTGCAGACCTTTAGGTCTTGCGCTTTTCTTTGACTGTGACTTGCTTTGTGTTGACATGGCCGTGCTGTCGTTGGAGTTTGGCGAGGTGGTCTCCATGAGGTCTTGTACGGAGTAGGTGTCGCATTTTTCCATTCCTTCCCCACGTCCCATCCCAAATCCTTATCCTGTCTCCTTCCAACTGCTATATAGTCGTAATGGCTTGGCGCTCTCTCCTGATAGTTCCTTTCCTTCCATGCTGCGGCGATGGAGCTCCTACTGAATTCCCCGTCTGAGGAATTGATTTTGATTGTTGTTGCCGGAGGCGGCTAGTTTATTGTGCACCCCACACTCATCCTGTGAGCGGTAGCGCAAAAAGCATTACAGAGGGCACAAAAGATCAGACCTCATCTTAGATTATTACATAAACAATTTCATCTATCCTTCACACCTTAGTTACAATGTCAGCTAGTTACAGAGAAAGTGCTATTTCAAGAGCTATATATTTACAGTAAGTCATTATACATTAATGGTAGGTCTTATCGCTAATACATAAGTTTGACCAATGGAGATATTACAGTCATCAGATGCGTAGTCCGTTGTTGGTGATTTTGGCTTTGCTCTCACTGCTTGTGGTAGGCTCTGGTGTCGTGGTTCGATGGTAGAAGCTAATTCAGGAGTGTCGGTAGTGCTGTTGGTAGTCACAAACAGCACGTCTGCAAGTGCGTCGGCTGATAGTGATAGTGACACTCCTACCGATAGTGCGTCGGTAGGAGTGTAGGGAGCTAAAGAGGGAGTTACTTCCGTTTGAGCTGCCTGGGTCTTGGGTGGCGTTGGAGTCTGTGTTGAGCTTGACCTCGTGGTCGTCCTTGTGGCAGTCCCCTGTGTTCAACCTGTCCTCTTACAAATTTCGTCTGAATTTCGCCGTTTGCCCGTATGGCCGAATATGGACGTAATTTTAAAATGAACAAAATTGAAATAAATTCTGGATTTTTTCTTCAAAGCAGTAAGTTAAGGGTCCTCTGGTAGGTTAAGAGTGCAGGAAATTCTTCTAAAGTTTCAAAACGTCATGAAAAACGTTAATTGAAAGTTTCCTTTCCTAACCTTACCAAGTAAACCGAAGGACTCAAACAGAAAATGGGACAGTACATTACTTTTGTGAGCCGATTTCATTTCAAATTACGTCTCATCTTTGGCCATAGCGCGCATACGAGCGAAAAGTGACGTTATTTTAAGAGGACGGGTTGGTGTAGTAGGGAAGGCAGTGTGACTTGCATCTAGGATGATGAAGGGGTCCAGGCCGTTGGCTAGGTACAGTGCGTAGAGTTCATTGACGAACCGTTGGTTGTCTGGTCCGGCAAGTCTCTCCGCTAGTCAAATAAGACCAGGGATAATGCCCGCACATGATGCAAGGGACTGTGAAGGTGCTGGTTTGGTCCTTGGTTCCTCAGTGTGGAGCCCGGGTTGCCTGGTGGGAGGAGCCACTGTTTGGTAGGGCTGGGGAGTCTTCTGGTTCGTTGATGGGATCTTGGGTGCTGGGTGTTGTGCCGGGGGCTCCAGCGGCGGAGGTAGGAGTTTTGGAAATCTTGGTTTCAACCTTGATGATTTCCTGCCTGGGCGGGCAGCGGTAGGAAATCACCGAGTGTTCGTCTATGCAGAGCAAAAGGCATAGAGTTTCATTTACAGATTGAGTAATAATGGTCCTTGGCGCAAATGCTGCACCTCTGGACAGATGCTGACACTTGTTGGATGGGGGGTGGGAGAACTCGTAGCATTTGAAGCAGTTTTGCAGCTCGTGGTATCGTTCCTTTACTTGGTAGGGTGGAATCTTAATGTCGCAGCAGAAGAGACCTTGTGTGGTAGCCCGAGTAGTCTTGGTCAAGGAGGTGAAAGTTAGCTTCATGGCTTGATGCTCGTGGTCGGTGCCGCAGAACTCAAGGTTCATTACCTCCAGGTTCGGGTTTTCGTCCTCGATGCTGGCAATGATCTTCCTTTCCTTTCGGTCCGCGATCCAGCGGCTGGTCCTGCAGATAAAAACTTTTCTTTCGGCGAGGTACTGACAGTGGGTCGTGGGGATGAAGGTTGCTGCTCTCAGCGAAGTGCCCAGTCGAATTTCTGGAGTTTTTCCAGGTGCTCCACACCCGTAGTAGTAGACCACAATATCCACCCGTTCCTGACCAATGTAGATGGGTGTAATGTCGGCTCCGTCGTTCAGTATCTCCAACATGTCGTTTTTGGTGAAAGCATCACCGTCGTGTGGGGTAGTCCTAACTTTGAGATGTTTGTAGTGCATTTTAGCCACTCCCTCAACGGGTCGCAGTGGCACTGGGTGTCTTGTGGGGTGGTTCAGGCATGCTGGTGCTTTACCCGGCAATGCTCATTACTTAAGGAGGCCCTCGGTCTTCTCACGAGTATGATGAGGAAGAGTGTGGGGGCTGACCTAGGGTAATGCGCCTTGCCGAGAGTAGAGTGGTTTTGCCGGCATGTGTAGCACAGCTTGCCAGCAGGAGAGGAGAAGGGTACGTCCGTCCGCGGTGGCTGCTCGCGTTGCTGTCCTGTCTTGGCCACCAGTGTTACTTGATATTTATACCTGGTGCTGTTGGCCAGCTGTCAAGAGACCTGTACCCCCCCCCCCCCCCTACTGCCTCCAGCTACGGTCCCCCTCCCCCTGCCTGCCTCCCTGCCTGCCACGCCACGCCCTCTGTCCCAGCCTGCCACGGCAGGCCCCCCCCTTCCCCTCCCCGGCAGGGCCCCCCCCCTTCCCCGCCCCGGCAGAACCCCCCCCCTTCCCCGCCCCGGCAGGCCCCCCCTTCCCCGCCCAGCCTGCCACGGCAGGCCCCCTTCCCCGCCCCAGCCTGCCACGGCAGGCCCCCCCCCTTCCCCTCCCCGGCAGGGCCCCCCCCTTCCCCGCCCCGGCAGGCCCCCCCCCCTTCCCCGCCCCAGCCTGCCACGGCAGGGCCTCTTCCCTGCCCGGAGAGTGTAGGGAGAATACACAATGCGAGCGAATTACTAGGAAAGTAGAGAGATGGATCGTCAACCTCCTAACGAACAGAACCCATAGTGTAATAGTCAGCACAGTAAAATCAGTCATCTACTGTGAAAAGCTCAGTCCCACTAGGCACCGTACTTGCTCTGGTACTTTTTCTCATCCTAATTTCAGACATTCACAAGGATACAAACCACCGCACTGTATCGTCATTTGCAGATGACACTAGGATCTTCATGCGAGTAGACAATAGAGAGGACACGGCAAACCGGGTCTTTCAATGGGCCACAGATAATAATATGTTCAATGAAAGCAAGTTCCTGCTCCTGCGCTATGGAAAAAATTAAGGTATCAAATGGAAAAACATATAAATGTAAAATCACACTAACGAAAAGGCAATGTAAAGGATCTAGGAGTAATCATATCAGAAGACCTTACCTTTACAGAAAGTAGTTGTCACCACGGCAAGACAAATGACAGGTTGAATAACAAGGACCTTCCAAACAAGGGATGCCACACCAATGATACTTTCCCAGGCACTAGTGCTCTCTAGGGTGGAATATTGTTGCACTCTAACAGCCCCATTCAGAACCGAAAAAATTGCTGACCTAGAGTGTATGAAAAGATGCTGTAACGTTAGAATCCACTCTGTAATTCATCTTGATTATTGGAACCTATTATATGTTTTAAATCTGTATTCTCCAGCGCAGGCGATAGATATAATAATCTACACGTGGAAGATACTAGAGGGGCTGGTCCCAAACCTGCACACAGAAATAACATCACATGAGACCAGAAGGCATGGCAGGATGTGCAGAATACCCCCGTTAAAGAGCAGAGGTGCAACAGGTACTCTGAGAGAGAACTATCAACATCAGAAGCTCGAGACTGTTCAACACGCTTCCACTACACATAAGGGACATAACTGGCCGACCCCTCACAGTGTTCAAGAAAGTGCATTCCTGGCATTCAACACACGTAGTAGTAACGCCAGGAAAATAGTTGGCAATCGTTGCATGAATGGTTTAATTGTTCAAGAAAATAGGTTTGAGATCAAATTCCTCTGGATATCATTGCATGTTATCTCAAAGCTTGACGCTTTTGAAATGCTTGCATAAGCATCCTTTGGCAAACCAGTATTAGCATTTTAATATTGGTGTTTCATCAACAGTGACAGAAATACTGAAACTAATACACGATTAGTTTCAGAAAAATCTTACTGACCTAACAAGCTCGGAAAGACCTGAAAGCTGTAGCCTTAAATATTATGATAAGTACGGTGAGGAGACATTTATATATGGGACTATTAGAACAAGAACTCGGCAATGTGATGTTATAGTGGCCAGAACACGCCGAAAGCTGTTCTCAGTTTTCTCGAGAAAGACGAGAATAGAAAACTCTTCTCCAAACTCCAGTGTCTTATACACCACGTGTCAACTTCGTGAGAGAAAACATGCATTATCTTGACCATTATATTGTGGAGTGTCCCACGCTGACTTCCGGGCCACCTGTGTTGACATGTGCTGAACTTTGTAAATATTATCTGAATACTGGGACGTTTACTGACGTACTCAAGTACTATGTGGTTGAATTATAGTATGAAAAGCGCTTCAATTTCATTGAAGCGGTGTGCACAATGGCTAGCATTGTATACGAATAGCCACGGACCTGGTAGAACGCCTTCCACGCAACCACAACCATCCCCCCCTCCGTGCCTGCCAGCCTGCCACGTGGCACACATCACCAAGTGTGACAGCTCCCCTACACCCCCTCCACCCCTCCACCCTCAACACCCCTCCACTCCCCCCCTATACCCCTTACATCCCCCCCCTCCCTACACCCCTCCACTCTCCCTACCCCCCCCCCCCACCCGCCCTTTGTATCACTTGGCAAGTTGTCATGATTTGGCTGCCACCAGTGGTTCACCCACCGAGAAGCTGACGAATATTTCAGTAAATTACCCGCCATAGTAGTAGGAGGTAACAACGCACTATCCTAGGGGGGTGGGGTGGGGGGGGGGTACCGGAGCGCCATATTGCATAAAGTAATACAGGAGGGTGGGAAGGTGGAGTAGGTATGAGTCAAGAGCAATGTTGCGTGATCTTGTGGTGTTGACCTTGAACTGAATAGTTGCTGCGATGGTCATGGGAGGTTAGTGCGTTATTACCCAGCATGGTGAGTGGCGGGT